TGTGGAGCCATCCTTTTCGTCCTCCTTGCTGACCCTTTGAGCTAAGCTCTCCAGAAACTGTCCAGTAAATGAGGCAGGTTAATGCCTCCTCTCTGCTGGCAAACACTTATTCTCCCAGAAAAGACAGACAGTTAGGAAGGACCGAACAAATATTTACTTCAATAAAAGCTTTGGGAATATTAGATTAAATACTTCCACACCTGTGAGCAGGTGAAACAGCATTTGATTAACTACAGGTTTATACTGGAACTTCAGGAGATGTTGCTTGACTCTGTAGGAAGGTTGCCAATGCTACACCAATAGGCCTCATCTCATTGTTATCAGTGAAAGTGGAAAAGCCTACATTTCAAAAAGCAATCAGTTATTTTAGGTTCCTAGCTGTGTCCACTCTGAGGTGTCAAAGGATGTGGCTCACAGGAGAATCCAGCTACAGCAACCCAAGGCCACTTAGACTGAGAACACCTACACAGGTACTCTGCAGTCTTTGCTCATGAATTCAGCTGATCTGCCTATTTCCCCCAGGACTTTTCTGCAGTGGGCCTCAAAATTTAAATAAGCAATCACACTCTTCATCCAGTTTCCATGCGGCTTGCAACCCTCCTCATAAGTGCTGGAATCACACTTCATTACAAACTGCTGGGGATGGGAGAGGAGATCATGATTTTCTATGGTCAAGTACTTAGGTCACTTTAAAATATTTCACATTGACCACCTGAACACAGAGACATACAATATCCTTATTCACTTCTGAAGCTGAAGGCAAAAATTGTCATCCAATATCTAGGAGAAAACTGGAAAACAAAACTACAGCAGAGGATGGGAAAAGAAATAGGAAGAATGAAAGAGGAGATAAGAGTCAGACTGAAGCTAAGGACAGACCTGTAGGACTTCGTTCAGTTCTGCTTTCCAAGTAAGGCAAGAAACCCACACTGTTGACACCTCCAGAACTAAAGACACGAGCAGGTACTTCCTGCATTGAAAAGCCACAGCTGCTAGCCCACAGTAATGCCTTTATAACCCACGCACTTAACTCAGCAGCAGTTTAGTCATGTCACCTTCCAGCTGGAAAAGAAGAAAGAAGGAACAAGGCGGACGTTCCTCGTGTTGGTATAAACACACACTCCACAATATGCCCCATATGCAGCAACTAAGTGTCAGCTAATGCCAAAAAAAACGTGAACGAATTAGAGACACCTCTAGGGAGAAGAATCAGTGGAGATCCTGCATAATAGCTGTTTAACAAAAGTTTTCCAAAAGTACTCTAGCTATAATATATAGCATATTCCCTAAGACTCTCCAGAAAGTATTAAAAAGTTAAAGTTGAACCTTGAGGCTCCCATATTGACAACTCTGATAGGTAGGTGCTAGTGGTTTCCTAAGCTACTTTCAAAGAGAACGATCTACAGTTTCTCAGTAAAATAAACATTTACTGCATCCAGAAAATATTGTAAATGGAATAAAGTGAGTAATTTTTGGAATACTATAAATAAGCTTTCAATGGAAACTCATAATAATTCTCCTACAGTTAGTTACACAATTCCTGGACATGTTGCTTTTTACATATATTTAAATATAGGGCTTCAGTACAAAAGCCACTTTTTTGCTCTGTAGCATGCACATATAAAGGTTTCCTGATGATTTATTAGGTTTTTACCATGATCATGGTATGTACATAATGTATTTCTAACACGCATTGTGGAGTTTAAGAAAAGGAACAGTGTATGAATTTTCTATCAAACACTTCAGAATTTGTCAGCTAACCGTCAGCCTGGTATCTCTCTCTGTACATAGGAACGCTGCAGGTCTGAGGCTAATAACTGATCGAAAACTGACACCTACAGCCTTTATTCAAAGGAGTACAAGTACTGGCATGCCATATACAGACTATAAACTTGTTATGCATAGATCAGCCACTGGGTCCACACAGATTTATTTAATATTCTCCTTCCACAGTGAGAATTTCTTATGCTGTTTCAGAAACCATGACTGTGTCCTGAACCTGTACCAAGCTCCTCTAGCACAGCAGCCTACTCTAAACTGTGTATGCACAGGGTCAGAGTATTCAGTGAAGATCTAATGAGTCTTCTCAACTGCTTTCTCTGAGCTAAGCTCAGAAGCTACAATAGCAAAGTATTTGAATGACAGTCCCTCCTCTTTAGTTTGGCCAAAAGACAGACGTAAATTAGTAATACAAAACACCAACGTGCCATGGAAACAAAATACGCAGTACTTTTGAAAGTATGTCTTCACAGCATCACAGTGTTAAAACAAATACTCTTTGTCAGAATAGGTTAGCCACCTGGGATATTGCAAAGAGATAGAGCCTCACCTTATCAGCCCATTTAAGATTTACTTGACAGTTCACCTGGGTTTAACATAGATACTACTGCTACATTTAGCTAAAAATGAAAGATCACTAATAGAATACAAAATGCAAACATCTCTTCTTATGGCAACTCACACCCCTTAGACATTTTGTATGTAATTAAACTAGTCTTGTCAAAATTTGTTACTGAGAATTTGCAGTAGAAACTCTGGATATGCTAATCTTTGCCCTCTATTATCTTTAATAGCATTTGCAGAGGTGCTGCCCAAGGGAGGTGCACAAGTCCTGACATTTGAAAATCAGGCATTTTGACGTTTGGATTTACCCAGAAACACCCTAAGAGAAACTCACAATAAAGACTGTGTACGTGTGAGTACGAAAGCACGCAAGTGGGCAGCTTTTCTTTGAGATGCCTCTACCTCTTTTAGTGCAATCTTTTCTCTGAGCCGCAATGTTTTGGTACTTGTAGTTCAATAATAGCAGGTTTACGCTCAAGATTTAACCTGTGTCAGTGAAAGATGGCTATTGAAACATGAATTGCTTCAAAGTTTTGCTACCTGCTAAATGTTCTACTTCTTCATTTGCTACACACACTGGTACGTGAAAGCCCAGATTGCATGACAGTCCACTGCAACACATCCAATATCTTGCAAAGTCTGTTTGGACAAAGTAAGAATAAACGTTCACCTGAAAATGGTCAGTTCCAGACTTCCTTTCTTTTTAGCATATGTTAGAAATGATTTTTGTGTGCAGTCCAGCTCTCGCAGTGCTTTACAAGATAGAAAAGCACACTTATGTCCATTGTATAGGTAGGAAATTCAAGCTTAAGATACACACTGATTTGTACAATATCAGCAAAGAGATCATCACCAGAATGGGAAAAGAACTTGCTTCGCTTTAGTCTGACCAGCGTGGTATTCACTGGACTATCTTGCTGTCTTTGAGTTACTCCTAGATATACCTGTATCACTGCTTAGTATCTCATTTAAAATGTGTATTTTAAATGTGCTTTTTGAAAGCATAAGTAATATTAACATGAAATTGAAATAGACTTTCTGAGGCCAAATCGATCAATACGCTGATTTGCAATGGTACAGTAGTCCTTAACATTGCTTTCGAGACAGAATGCAACCAGAAATCTTGCTAGTTCATGGTTAAGGTCCTCTTACAAGAAAGTCAACAATTAAGATTTCCCTTCCCGGCATACCCCTAAAGAGACAACAGAATTAGCAGAAAGTCTCGAATGTGGATGACAATTCATGCTGACAGTTAGATGCTCGGTTATCCTTGTTTCTCAGCGTTAAACAATGGAAGCAACTGGAACAGCAATAACAAATTCCTGTTACATAACGTAAGGTGAGTTGTTATGCTTGCATCTGTTCTCCGGAGCTTAGACTATAACGCATTGTTTTTTGAAGTCCCAGTCACTGTAGGTCAATACTGGACGCTTTTATAACTTGTCATGAATGTTAGTTTTCTCTCTATAGTTCAGTAGTTTAAGTCAAGATACATTTGGTAACAAGCCTTCCTATCACACACGTCTCTCTATCACGTTTTGAGACCTAAACCAGCCAGAGAAAAGTTCACATGTAGCTCCAAACTTCAGCAGAGGGCATAAGCTACCCCACGCTGAGCTCCGGGGTGCCACAACTAGACTGTCTTTGGCACCCAGATCAGTTAGCGCAAAGCCACCCCGCTGGCTTGCAGTTACTGCTCTGAGCATGCTGCGAACATACCTGGAGTCCTCACTCTGTGTCTTCAGGCCAAGGGGTTGTGACTACAGCACAATACCCAAAAGTATGGTTGTTATAAAGGAAATGACAAATCCTTTGTCAGGGAATAGAAGAATCCAGAAAGGAAACAGAGTTGTACCCTAGATGATCTTTACAGAAATATATGTCATGATTCAACGGATGAATTCTTAACAAAAGAATCACTTTCATATTCTGCATAGGTTATTTAAACGGCCATTGCCTATGATTATTCTTGGGCACCAGGCTTTTTCCTTATTATTATTCTTGCAAGGAAAGATAAAGTCTTCAGAATAACAACGATGCAATGTTAGCAAGCAACTGTTCAGTAAATACAGATACTTCCAAATGAGAAACAAAGAACCCCATCCCTTTCCCCACTATTTGCAGCTTTATCAAGCTCTGTGTGGTAGAGAGCACTCAGAAAAAAACAGAAAACACTTTTAAAGGACTATTGTGGCCAACCCCAGTTAAAGTGAAAACAGTATCCTTAAACAATCTGAGAGAAAAATATCCAGCTGCAATTAAACACCTTTTCAGCAACCTGAAAGTAAACCTATATAGAAGAATGAAAAGAGCTGACACTTTCCCATCGCTGTCCCTTAACTCATCTGTCCAAATGAGTCATGATCAAATAAAGCTACATATTTGCAATGCTCTTTTTTATAAGGCTGTGAACAAACTGCATTCCCATACCATAGAGATTTCAGAATTCTGGCCAGACCAAAAATCTATTTCTAGTGTCCTATCTATTTTGCAAATCCCTGCACCACAACTCTGCAGCATCCCTGCAGATTCCTGCAGGACTTATTTTTCTGTTGATTTTTGCATTTTGATAATTTGAAAGCTCATTCCTTGTTCACCTTACTCTGATGCAAAAATCATTTCCCCTTCCCCCGCCAACTTTCTTTACATCTACTCACTGCCTCAGGTGTTTGCAGAAACCATGATGCTTTCCTTGCCTTCCTCTAATTGCAGTAGTTAGGAGACATGATGATGCTACAATCACTGCGGGAGGAGGTGCTTGAGTTTTTAGCTCACTGCTTCTCTCGCCTTCCACTTTTTTTCCTCATCACATCCTTGCTCCGTTTCCTCAGAACAGAACACAAACATCACACATTATAGACTCCGCTTTCTTAAAGAGATAATAAAACTGCACACTTCATGCAGTGCAGTATCTTGAAACTTCAGTATTCCAATATATATCTGGTGCTTTTTCTAGGAGTGATGAAGCGGAATGGGTCCACAATAGAGATGTCTTGTGTATTCACCTAGAGTGGCTGCCAGCAACTCATCAAGAGTTTGGGTTTGGTTGTACGGGTTTTAGAGCTAGAAAGTTCTCCCAGTCTATTCCCATTGGATTTTAAATCTAAATTGAAAAAGATACTAAACATCCAGTCACACTTCTCAGGTGCATTCTGGTCAGAAGAAAGGCATTTGTGCAAAGCATCACAGAAGAGCCAAGGTAGGTGTTCTTGGAAAAAGCTCTCATCTTGTTCACAGAATGGAGGAAGCTTTTCACCCACCACTTCTTACCACAGTAAGCAGTGTTGCGTAAGAACTGGGATTCAGGAATGGAGGTGCAGCTAACCAAAGTCTAAATAGATCATATTTAGGGGAGGGCAGAAAAAAACGAAGTTCAGATGTCGCCTGAGCCCAGCAGCACTTCTCCAGGACTCTCTTTTCAGGCAGAGGAGAAAAAAAGAAGGAAAATATTCTGAAGAGTAAAATCTAGATGCTTCTTCTTAATAATTCTTGATCCATACCCTGGCAGCTTTTTGGACTACTTGGCAAAGGAGGTTCTAGTGATGAGACCTCAATCTCTGGTATTCCACAGATGCAAATGACCTGTTCTAAATTGTGTTTTCCTTTCCCCTAGTCATAGCCTTTCCCTAGTATACATCTTCCTTTCCTATAGTTATTTAGAAAGATTTTACTGTTTGTACTCTGACTGGTTCACTAACTCTTTAGAGCTCTCTGCAGTTATGATTCGTATTTCAGAACTGCCCTGGAAACCAGCAGGACAACAGTAGTCTCCATGTCCCTCTGAGAGCAGATGGCATAGTAAAATAACAGCACTAATTGATGACACATGCATCCAGAGCAAGCACTCCTCGATGAGACTCTTTTACTACATAGTTTTATCCACGCATAAGAAATCAGAGGAATGGCTATAACTGGCAAATTTTGTTGGTATCATTAAGTCATGTCTTGAGAATTAGCCAGACTATAGATACTGCATAGAAGTTTGTAACTGCTCCTTCCTTGAGGGAAATATATTAATTTGGTCAGTAGTGAGCCCATGTTCTTTTCATTAGCTATTACTAGCCATGTGGGAAAAGGGCTTGCTGTGCACAGGTGGCTTGGACATCTCTTCATGCTTCCAAGCATGCTTCCAAGTTTGTGCCAGTGGGACAGAGTCTATTACAGGCAGGGAAGTGATTCAAATTAATTTTCTCCAGGCTAGCAAAACCATTTAATTTAGTCTTGTGAGACAGAACAAGAACTTGTAGTAATGAGAATGGCTGAGGCTGCAGAAGCTGGGCAAAGGCATGTAAAGCTTTTTAACAAGACTCACTGCTTGGAAGAACTCTGCTGGTTTAGATGTTTTAGCTCTAAAGAGCAAGAACAAAGCTGCATTCGGTTTACAGACAAGCTCTTTTCCACTGTCCTACTTCAAATGAACACCACCACAGCCACCATCACCACCGCTCCTGCTTCCAATGTGTGGTTTAGAAATAACTTTTGCTAGAATTTTTTTTTTTCCAAGCCAATTAGTATAATCAACTCAGTCCACACTTCTGGTACAAACACAGTAGCCAACAACAGGAAGACAAAAAAAAATAACGTACGTGTTCCTGCAGGCACAGCTCCTTCTAAAAACTCACTGTTGTGTAAATATTGAAAAAGAATAAGATATAAATCAGCTTCCAAGGCACAAGTCATCACAGCTATTCTGGTTCTCTGCCATCACACTTTCAAGGAGAAGGAGCTAACATCTGACCTGAGGCCACGGTTCACTTAAATTTTCAAGGAAAGTTGGAGGGGAAAAAAAAAGCTAGTTATGCAACAACTATTCTCAAATCTGTAAAGTCAAAGTGCACCTCAGTTTCACGCGGAGCTATGTTCAGGCTTCAGAACATTCTATCTCCCACAGAACTCTTGGATTTTTAGTAGTAACTCTTAAGAATTATTCTGGTTCAAGGTCTGGTATCTTCCACAACTTGGAAGTTGTGGAAATTCTTCTAGTGCCTCAGATTCAAATTCTCCTTCATCCCTGGATCCGTTATATCCTTCGTTGATATCGAGGGGATCCATGTTCCAGGACAGACCTGTAGTCAAAAGTATCTGCAAAATTAAGTCCAACCTGAGAAATCATCCTTTAAAGGCGAAGCTAGACATGAAATAAGTAAATAAATGGCAGAAAGCACCACAACACAATATCGCCATCAATGTTCTTTGGTTTGGAATTGCAATAATTTTGTTTTGTGTTACTTTTTAACAAACGATAAAAAATAGATATTTGCCCGCACAGCAGTTAATTTTTCATGCAAAGATACAGAAACCTATTTAATTGGAAGCATATTTTTTCATGGAGAGAAACTGCTTGGATAAAAATGGCGATCAGCCTCACCTCGTCTCCTGCTGTGGTGGACCCCAGAGGGCCACAGCAGCAACCAGCTTTAATGCAAGCCCACTCACTCTCATGTGGAACTGCACCAGTACCTCCAGTCAGAGCTTTCCACGTGCTTCCTGCCCATTCCTGTTTCCTGTGCTCACTCTTCTCTCCAGAGGAGAGAGCGTTGCTGGGACAGAAAGCCTCCAGTCTCCCTGCAAGAGTCCTCAGAAGATAAATTATCAACCAGGATGAACAAACCATAGCAACCTGCAGGCTGCATCTGACTGTGCGCAGCACATGAGTAAAAACAGCACAGGGAATATTTTGCTGTCTCTGACCATACCTCATCTCTTCGGTGACGGGCAAGGCAGCTTTTAGTACTGCTAAAAGCCACGAGCTGTGGCACAAAGCCCAGAAACTCACTTTCACTGTAGCTGTTGCTTAAGAGGCTTCCCGGCTTCCCAGTACAATCCATTTAATTATTTCAGAAGCAAAAACTCGTTTATTAGGAAGCCCTAAGCTAAACAAATAAGGAAATTGTCCTGTTTGCTGAAAAA